GGTGGATATGTGTGTTCGTGTGCCCTGTGATGGACGGGCATCCCATCCAGGGTGTGCCCTGCCGTGTGCCCTGGGATGGACGGGCATCCCATCCAGGGTGTGCCCTGCCGCGTGCCCTGTGATGGACGGGCATCCCATCCAGGGTGTGCCCTGCCGTGTGCCCTGTGATGGACGGGCATCCCATCCAGGGTGTGCCCTGCCGTGTGCTTGCTGGCATGGGCTCCAGGCTCCCCCGGAGCTGTTGGGGTTTTTGTCCCTGTGATACTTTCTGAAATGTTCATTCTCCGGGTCTTGCCTCTACCCCCAAGCAGGCGAGCCAATCACATCGCAGAAGGAGTGCCTACGCCCAGGCTCCGCTGACGCAGGCGAGCCAATCACATCGCAGAAGGCGTGCCTAAGCCCAGGCTCCGCTGACGCAGGCGAGCCAATCACATCGCAGAAGGCGTGCCTAAGCCCAGGCTCCGCTGACACAGGTGAGTGGGGGCCATGCTGGCTCAGACACGGGTCAATCGCACGCAGGAAACCATTACGGTAATACGGGCTGAAGTGCAGCTGACTCCCCAGCCCGTGTCGGAGGCTTGGTGCTAAGACCATAGACAGGGCAGAGACAGCGTGTGAGGGCGGTGGGGGGGGGGGATAAACCACTTCTACTCCGGCTGGCACCAGTTTATATCAGAAAGAGGTGAAATGAGGCTTCTAGACCCATGGTGGGTGGGGTTACAGTTGTGCTGTCAATCACCGAATGGGAATCAATAAAGCCACTGATGAGAAGTGGGCTGGACCAATCATTTACTACACAAACCATCCCCCGCCCACCATGGACTCCCAAGCCCTTATCGCTCTCCTTTAAAGGGGCTTTTTGATGCAACCTGCTCTTGGCCTCTTGGCTCTATTTTCACACTCTTCACTAAGATCTCCCATTCTGATTACATCTCCAGCTTTTATCTAGAGTTTGAAAAAAAGAAAAGGCGTGTGCTACACAGAACGCAAGGTCAATTTCCAGCAACAAAGATTTCAAAACAAAAATATCCCGTCTATGCTGGTCTTGGGAATCCTTTTGTTGTAGTAACACTTGCTAACCACAGACTACAAAACCGTGGCTTCCATCCAGCCCAAGACCGGGAGGACTCGGCCAAAACAACGGCTGGAATCTAAAGTGTACAAGACCACCAGTGAGCATGGATCTCCAGAGCCCAGTAAATAACACTGTGATCACAGGCCAGAGTCACAGTCTAAGAGGCTGTAAGGGATGAACGGAGCTCATACTGACGGGCTCCTGATGGTTCCCGTGTCCAAGGGCTGAGGTCTTCTTTACGTCTACTTATGAAGCTTCTGCTCTGGATGACGTCGCGTTACGCTTGGAATACAGTTACGTACTGTAAGTTACCTTATCTAATTCCGTAAATCTTAGTGAACTACCAAAGGAACTACATAAGGAACCACTGAAGGAACAAGTATTGAATAACACAAGTGAAACACTGACCTCATGTTTGTTCATCGTTAATGAATCGTGATGCATATTTTATCTTAAGGAGTAACTATATTTGTTAATGATTTGTTCATAGTCTGTACCTTTAGTAGTAACTGTAATATTACTAAGTTTTTGTGACCCGTTTAGTAAAGTGTCACCAAATGAATACAAAAGCCTGAATACCACCGGAACAAGAGAAACACTTCAAGTATTAATGAGTATTACACAGAGTACTGAAAGCAGCTGCTGCCTCATAGGTGTAAAATTAATCAATCGACATTTCATCAAGTTTAAAGTTGAGGAATGTGGGGCAGCACCAGTTTTGCATTATTTTGACTGGAAGAGTCTCAGTGACAGAGAGGGGGGGTGATTTCTGGGGCAGGTCTGGCAGCTTCAAATACCATCACTGTGGGTTCCACAAGGGACGGTAGCTGACACAGGCGACGCACACACAGAAGTCTGATAGCACGACAACATGAGCTAACAGCAAATTGAACTTCAGCTCCGCGTGAAGGTGCAACTCGTCGCGTGGGGATCCCCGCCTTGCGTGACGATCCGGGGCGGAACAGGAACGGCTCGGAACCAGCGGACCGCAGATGCCAGTCAAAGGCGCTTGCAGGCGGTTCTGGCGAGTACAGAGAAGCTCAGAGAAGGACGACGTGCTGCAGCCGAATTGCATGGATGCCTCACGACTTTTTTGGTCTTCAGAGAATAGGAGGAAAGCCATACGGCAAGGGGAGTCAACCCATCCTCACGCCCTCCTCACGAAGCCGACACACATCGGCGGCCTGGACCTTCGTCTCCCTGGAGGGGAGGTTCTGGAGGCCCTGCTCTGCTCAGGGTGACCCTTCACGGCTCAGGTTGGATCCTTACAGGACAAGCTAACGTCAACGGAAGTGCCTCAGAATGATGATGCTTTTCTACTCTGATGTGGAAGGAGTCGTCCATAATGAAAGTAACAGAAGTCACTATGGTTCCATGACACCAGCATCATGAGCTAATTATTCAATTTTCTAGAGAAGAATGAAGCACCATCCTTCTAGGCACCAAAAGGGCTCAGAAATTGTTCTGGAGCTCAGGGTGGTCCATAACCCTTTTGAGATACTATAATGGTTCCATTTTCTGACAACTACTCCATCATTTTTGCATTAACAATTAACTAGGTGCAGACCCCAGGCCCATGCTGCCTGCCGTCAGGAAGGAGCACCCCCTGCTGGCTGAGTGTGGCCCCGGCACGCTCACTCACCCGATCTCCTGGCCTAAGCATAGGCTCCTGTTTGGTTCCCAGCTTGTGGAGGATGTTGTAGGCTACCTTCATGCTCCGTGTCCACAGTTTGCCTGCAGCAGAAAACACGGCAGACAGTGAGCAGCTAGAAGCTTCCGGGTGTCTCGTTGAGAAGCGTGACGCGCATTCCGACAGCAAAGGGGCTTTTCCATGCGAACGGCTGCCGCCGATCCATCCTTAGTCAGCATTCAAAGCACAAATAAATACTTGGAGAGTTTGTGCATAAACTTACCAGACAGGTGGGGAGACGTAAAATTAAAAACGGGGCAGTGACCAGAGTTGACTTAACCGCTACAAGTGCAGTCAGACATCAAAAGGCACGTTGATCCCAGCCAGGAGGGAATCAAGCGGAACGACGAGGAATAACAGAGCGGCGCGGCGCTCCGCCCGCGTCCTGGCATGTGTCAGTCGCCCGTCACCAAATCATCCCCGTCGGCACTTTGCCCGCAGGCCAGGGTTTCCGAAGACGGTAACCATGACAACCGCCTTTTCACAGGAGCGCCGGTGAACGGCGTGCCGCGCTCGCCGCCCGTGGGCGTGACCGTCTCCCCTCAGCCGCGAGGGAACATCGGTAACTACCAGAGGCTCGGCGTACAAACAAATAAGCGCTCTGTCGGCATAAAGGGAAGCGGGCTGTTTGCGCGACGCCGCATGACACAATTCCGCTCACCGTGATGGCAGCCTGAGCACTCAATGGCCAATTTTATGTCAATGGGCATTAAGTACGCGATGAAGAGCAGGGCCCCCGGCTGCGGTTTGCCGCCCTATCGCATCCCAGCAGACTCAAACAGGAGAAACAGCCAAAACACAAACACATGAGAAGCCGGAGCAGTTTAAATGCAATTAAAGACAAGATTAATCAATTCTAATATGACAACAGTGCATTCATCCATCCATTTTGCAACTGTTTATCCTGGTTAGGGTCACATGGTGGCCTGGAGCCAATCCCTGGCAACAACGGGCACAAGGCAGGGGCACACCATGCATGGGGTGCCATTAATTCACCACGGGCATTACAGAGACACCAATTAGCCTAACTGCATGCCTTTGGACTGTTTATTGAGACTGTAAAATGGGGGGTGGGGGATTCGAACCCCCAACCCTGGAAGCATGAGGCAAGCACGCTACCCCACTGAGCAACCCAATAACTGTCCGGCGATGTGTAATAATCTAAGTCTGCGTCCAAGTCTGCTCACAGAGGGGATGGGTTTTCTGTGGCTCCCTCTACCTCCTCAAGGAGCTCATGACCTAAAAGGCCGTGTCACATGACCACATGATGTCATCTGCCAGCAACACCCCGACAGACCATCTAATGGGATGGATGAAAGCTGGTGGAAGCGGGCAGCTGGGGGGTGAGGGGGGTCTGTTTTAAGCCGGCCGTGCAACAAGACACCAAGCTTCCTTCGGTCATTCGGAGCTCGGTGCACCCTCAGTCACGTCCTTCTCATGAATGGGTTGACAAGGTCTTACCTCCTTCTAAGCAAGTCCTTCCAAACAATGACCGAATCATCATAAAGGACCTTTTGTTCAGGAGTGCAAGCTAAAATAAGACACGCGCCTGATTTTTCATACCAGTAACTTCCCAGTCAGAATATGTAAATCCTAGACAATGCCTTTTACATCTGCAGAACCGCAGTGATGACCAGGGCAGCGCCTCGTATCAAGGACCCCGTCAGCCAGAGAGACGCAGAAGCTGACGTGACCTAAACCACCGAAACCGTAGGACGCGCTACATTTACATTTATGTTGCTGCGAGCGGCAAGAAATGTAATCTGGTGTGAGGCAGCTTTTATAAAACAGTCAGCGGGAGTGTGGATCCCTCCTCAGAAGCTGGAGCTGGAGAGGGGAATGAGAGAGACGGCGTGTGACACCAGAGGCCCCGGCTCAGGGGCCCCGGCACAGGGGCCCCGGCACAGGAGCCCGCGGCGGTCCAGCCCTGCCTCAGCAGCGTTTCACAGTCTGACGAGCAAAATCAATACGCTCCCACCGGCGAACAGAAATGCACTTTCTCATCGCCTGCGGACGTAATGGGCCATTCTCCCTCTGCCGCGGCAGCCATCTCCGTGAAAGACGCACGCGCACTCCAGAGGACAGACGCTAACGTAAGCTCTTCCCTGAGCAATAAAAGCAGCAGATAATCTGGGAGTCAAGGAAATCAAATTTCGGGTGCGATCGGATTTCCCGCAGTTCGTGTTTCAAGTTTTTATTGTCACGTGTTCGGAGGAACGCAGAGAAATTCTTCTGCCACAGATGCAGAGGAGGGGAAAAGTGCATGGGGGGGGGGGGGGCGGGCAATGGGGCAAAAATCTGTGTGATAAAGGACAAAACAGCGATGCAATTCAGGACAAGACAAAAGAGAGCGATACAGGAAGTGGAACAATAAAAGCGCAATAAGTAGGTGGTCCTCTAAGGTTCATGGGGGAGAAGGATGGTGAAGAACTCATGATGAGGAACATGGGAGCTGGGGATGAGGAGAAGCACAGCGGAGACATACAATGAACGAATTTAGAACATACAAGGTGATGAACTGAAACGTGATTGGGCGCTTGAGGAACATGTGACTCCCTGACATCCATATATGGTGGATGCAGCCGCACCCAAAAGGTCATCGCATGAACAGTTGGGGTGCCATCCTCCACAAAGGCAGGCCTGCTCATACCAGCCAGCGCTATGCAATAATAGCATCACACAGCCTGGGAGGTGATCACATTACAGACATTCACCTCCATGATAGAGTGGCTGCCTACGGAATCTCTCTCGGGGAGTGGGGGTTTAAAAAAAGACACCTGGGAGAGAAAGGTGATGATGCCCATCTGTGTAACACAGTGTTTCCCAATCCGGGCCCCGGGGAGCCACAGACGGTCCACACGTTTACTCCCGACCAGGAGCTGGGAGGGAGCAAAAATGTGGATTGCCTGGAAGGGGGCTCGGAGGGAGCGAAAACCTGGACTGTGTGTGGGTCCCGGATTGGGAAAAACTGTCGTAAAATGTCTGCAAACGCTATTAATTAAGAGCAAGGTCAGAGGGAGAACAGCCGCCAAGGCTGGGACTCAGATGCTACGTCCTCCGGGCCCGTCGGCTCAGTTTCCATAAAATCAAATCTAGCCGATTGAGCTGTCAGTCTTCGCATGGATCCAAGAATAAACAAACACCACAAACAATTATGTCTCTTCATATTCCGTGTACAGAAACAGAATTATCAGAAACGAGATCTAATTAAGGTTTTTAACATAATAATTGAGAAAGCCGGAATCCAATTATGAGCCGTAAATTGTTTGCCTTGTCCATCACTCTGAAACAATCCTCTCCCCCTAAAAAAACAGGTGATTTTAAGAGCTGCTTGTTAAAGCCACACAATGTGCTTCAATGAAAACAGCAGGAAATCAAACAATGGCACACAGTAGCGCTTTTCCACCTCTGGGTGCGGAACAGGAACAGGAACAGGAACATGAACAGGAACAGGAACAGGAACACCTGACTCTTAGATGACAGGATTACCTTCTGTCCCTCCACATACGCTGCCCCCCCTGCCCCCAACTGACTTCCAGTAATATAGATATTTAAGAGAAGAAAATGCACACTGCACATACAATATGTCACAGGGCCACTGGTAAGAATATCAAGACAGCAGAACAGGGAATTTACCAAAACAAAATCACAGAACTAAATCAGATTAGGCCTGGGGTGAGTTTCGCTGTGCAGCTCAAGCGATTATCCCTAGAAATAACAAATGCTTCTGGTTTATGAATAATTAGATTAGTGACAGATGCCATGGTCGATGCTTTGTTTCTTATTGGGGGGGCAGGGTGACCCCACAGGGGTCACTCAGAGGCTTATAGCTGAAAACCAGTCACCTGGCAACAAGGGAATGTATGCGCCGAAGAACCAATTAACTAATGACTGAAATCACAGATAAACCGTAATGTGACCCCCCCCCCCTCCGCCACAGCCACTGTCATTTATTTTATATTATTACGTTCAACTGAATTAACTAAAACCCAGAAAAAACAAAGCTGGTCATATTATGCAAGCCATCCATCCATCCATCCATCCATCCAGGGTAGGGTCATATGACTGCCCAAACCTGAAGACCCTGCAGTTTAACTGGAATTCCTCCAGCCTGTTTACCTGTCCCTCTCTCCCCACCCTGGCTGTGAGCTGACTGCACTCACCGTAGGTGAGGACGTAAAGTGCTTTGCCGTTGGTGTCCATGGTGGTCAGACAGGGCGCCTTGGGCGAGATGGTGCCCCACCGCTGCAGGGCCGCCTCCAGGGACGGCGGCCAGTTGGTCACCACTCCCATCTGCTCGCCGCGGATGGCCAGCATCTGGGCACCTTCGGGCCGCGGCTGGTTGGGGTCCGGCTGTTGGACTGCCAGATACGCTGTGAATGATCTCGCCCTGGATCAACACTGCCGGCTCAGCAGGCCAGGGTGGGAGTTCTGGATCAATGACCCGCCCACGTTTTGGGGCCAAGTGGCCCTACCTGCCCCTTCTCCGTCATCCCATCCAGCCACCCCCAGACAGGGCGTGTCGACCCACGTACGCATCACACATACCCTCCAGGAGCTCCTCGAAGTCATCCACGAAGAACTCCCTCAGCGGCGGCCTCTTCGGCCTCTTCAGGGTGTTCACCAGCTGCTGGATCTTGGCTGAGACACGGCTGCTGACGGGGACTCCTGCGGAAGAGGAGCGGGCAAAGCCGCCATTGGCAGGAACCCAGCAGGACCGTGGCTTTTTTTAGAAACACTTTTTGAACGGCAGAAAACGCATCCCGCTCACAACATTATCGACTAAAACGTCTGATGGGCTCGCCGTAATAACAGAGATGTGCTTCCCGGGAGAGATGAAATGCAATAAAAAAAAGGACCCGGTGCTTAAATATCCAGGCGTCGTTTTCCTCGGAGTGGGGTGTCGGAGATAACTACCGCCAGGTGATGCAACGGAAGCATCCCCAGGCAAAACCGTTACGTCTAGAGTTACCGCGGCTCTGTACCAGCGCCAGCCGGCCTCCTCACGCCGTTTCTCATCCTCACTGTCAATTACGTCGGTGAGCGTGAACAGAGGGAAGACGCCCCGGGTCAAAGTGCAGACGTATTCGCATGAAAGTCGATGCCCCTGTGTTGATCTCCCAGACTCCCTCCCATTGGTGTTTCCCTGGAAACCATATGCTCACAGACGACATTAATAGGTTAAAAATACACTAACATTCAGGCAGGCGTGGGGGCCAACAGACACCAGCCCTCGGCCCACGGCCCTGCCCCTCCCCTCGCCTCTGCCCCTCCCCAGACCCCCTCCCCCGAGCCTCACCATCTCCAGTCTCCATGAGCTCGGCGTTGCCGTATTTGGTGACGGGCCGGGGAGTGGTGGACACCTGTGGTCTCTCCACCTGGGCGCTGTGCTCTGATGCGTAGCTGGTGACATCTGGGGGCGCCGAGTGGTTTTCTGGGCAGGGTCATGGAGGGAACCTTGTTAATCACAGCGTGACAGTGTGTGTGGGGGGGGGGGGGGGGGGGGGGGGGGGGGGGGGGGGGGGGGGGGTTAGGGAAGGGGGAAGGGAAATCAGCCAAGTAGCATGTGTGCGAAACGTGTGTAATGGATGGGAAAATGGGACGGGGCTCCAGACAGGAGCACTGCTTCTGAGGATTAAACAAAATACCCACTGGAACTAAATGTCCCACAATGCACCTCTCAGTACAACAGCCTGCTACCCATTAACCAGCAGATGCAAAAATCAGATCCTTCTATGAGCATGTCTTATTCCATACAAGACAAGCCAGATAAACAGGGACAATAAAGACTGAGGAACAGAAAACCCACAATCTACAGCCTAAATGACGCATGATACTTATTAAGACTCTCTCTGCACACTGCAGTCCTAAACTACAACATATGAGTGAATCAACATGGAAACAATGAGCATGAAGAAATGATAGAGAGCTTTATGAACAGAAAACAGCATCAACACGTGAGTAGACTCTGGTGATTCTATATTACTAAATGTCCAACGTGCTCCTTGCGATGGCCTCCACTCTCTGCTGTATGCTGCAATTTCCCAGCATAGAGTTAAGGGCTAACGGTCTGTCTGCGCATATTTCTAGAGCATCTACTCAACATTCTTCAGTTTTGGAATGTGTAACGTATTCAAGATGTTTTGGATGGTGGAGTGAGGGGCCTGAATTTTACTGAGAGGCTCTAAGGAAACGAACATTTCATTCTGAAGCTGAATACGAGAATCCCTACGCCGAAGCTAAATTTGAGAGTCTTTACAATGAAGTCGAATGTGAGAGTCCTTACACCGAAGCTGAATATGAGTCCTTACACTGAAGCTGAATATGGGTCCTTACACTGAAGCTGATAGTCCTTACACTGAAGCTGAATATGAGTCCTTACACCAAAGCTGAATATAAGAGTCTTTAGAGTGATCAAGCACAACCAGCTCACAGAAGCTAAGGCTTAGCGATACCAAGAGCAAGAATTCTCTGGTTTTATATTCATACAGATCACGGCAATATCCAGCGAATGTGCCTTAGATGCTCTTAATACAGCTCTTTTGCTTATGAAATTAAAAAAGTGATCAATTCATTTTGTAATTTTTAATTTTTGTGCATACGCTCCTCATTTGGTTAGTTTCTCTGAAATCTTTCAAATAAAACAAAAAAAGCACATCAGAAGCGCACGTTTTACCCATAAACTTAAGCGGCGTAATCCTGATAAATAACAGTAAGCTAAATTACAACCAGATTATGCTGGGAAGAGCGTTCTTGCGGGGAAACACCAACTGAAACGCCCAAGAACTGTTTGATTAAAACGGCAACTGTGGGAAGGGAAAAAATATATAAAATCTGATAATGAGGCAGGTGTACGGTTATGAATAGGAGGCCCTTTGAAGATCGCAGCAGAGCGGCCGGGCTGTGGGATCTCCTCGATGTCATGGGCAGGGAAAACGGCCGCGCCTGTTTACGAAAGGCGGCCGGCTTGGCCGGCCCTGCTCACAGAGTGCAGTCACAGACCCCTCAGGCCACGGATCCCTGATCTGGCTTCCACCCCAGTGCATAATCACACGCCATCTTCATGGGGTTTTAATAAGCAACACGTGTGTCGCCACGGCAGGAGGCCCCACGGCTCGATATCGCTACCCTTAATAATTTGGCAAGAGAGGAAAACGCACGATGGGAAGAAGCGGAGTGTCTATTATTTTCTGTAGCATCTGCCTCTGTTTTCGAGGCTGGTGAGGTCTGCGGGAGACTTTTTGGTGACGTATTTGCCGTGGCGAGCGTGTAGCCAGCCGTCAGGAATAACGGGGGACGAGATGCCAGACATACTCGAGATACTAAATAGCCCGAAACGCAGTGCAAAGTTGACACTCTGAGACCCCAGTGGGCTGCCGGACTTGGGAGTTGGAAGAGTCTGAAAAAATAAACGCGATGCGGCTTTTAATGGATCCTTTCCATCCTGGTGGTCGAGGGGCCGACAGAAAAGACACAGGTTCGGTTTCCCGGAACACGCTGAATGTTCCGCCCCGATGCAGATTGTTCAGAGAATCCCGCTGGACCGTAAATAACAAAATACAGACGTTGTACGCAATCACACCGAGGCAGGAAAGGGCAATTAAAAAAAAAAAAGATAAAAACAGGGCAACAGGGCAACAGACCCAAACACGTTTCCCCAGAATGAGCAAAACCTCACACTGTACGCAGTGTCGTGGCCCCCAAGCTTATAAACAAACCCAAGTGAGGTGAGCACATGCCTCATTAGAGCAGCAAATGCAAATATAAACGCTACTCTGCCCGCCAGCGTCACTGGGACGCTGGCGGGCATCGCAACGCTCACTGCCCCAGGGTGGGCAAGGGCGCATTTTAAGAGGATAAGGAGTGCGTAAAAGCGGGCTATCAGGTGGGGGGGGGGGGCCGAGCAGGGATCCGCCGGCAAGCTGCCAAAGATCAAACGCGAGGCAGGACTCGAGTCCAGCACGAGGCTGGGATAGAACGGCTGCACGTCCGTGCACATGTTCACGCACCCACACACACGCAAACACGCACAGGGACACACTTCTCAGGGATGGGCTGGATGTGGAGTCTTACTCAGAAAGGGTGAATGGATGACAGCAGGACGCACGAAGGGCCAAACAGCCCCAGCTGGGCTTATCTAACGAACGCGTGAAGAACACAGGACAGTGACGCCACACCAATGGGAGGGTGGGGTGGATGGAGGGGGTGGGGTTTGGTGCCAGGATACTGACCCTCTGGCTCCAGGGGCGGCCAGACGAGTTCTGATCCAAATTCGCAGGACCGGCGCAACGAGTTCCCGTTCTCGACTGGCCCAGGCGCGGATTTCCTCTTCAGCGAGAGGTAAGCTATGGGTCCTGGACACGAGGAAGAACCAGAACCGTGTTTGACAGAGTCCCGGGCCACGGCCACTGGACGGGGCCTTGACGGCGCACCAGAACGGGTCACGGGGTCACGGGGCACCTGGCAAACAGCGCCGGCCAGCCCGATACCGCGCGGGACTCATCTTAAACAAAAGTGACTTATCTACACAGACAGACATAACCGCTGCAGGGCAGTAGAGAAATAAGGGGCAATTAAATATGTTTGTCTTTGAAGCTCAGAATGATACACTGGGGACTGGCTGTTTCGGTGCAGACAGAACAACCTTCAAGAAAGAACTGGCAAAGAGCACCAACAAACACTAACATCAAGCCTATAAATCAGCTACTAGTAACCAGGTTTGTAAAAATGAATAATCCATGTTTATTCCCAGACTGTCTGCTTCTGGGTGACAGAATTACAAAGAGGCGCAAAAGAGTTAGAAAGTACATTGTTAGGGTTAAACCGAATTCGTCTGTCAACCACTTTTGCAGAGACTAACATACGACAGGATCCAGTCACTTTCTTACCTGTGGGATAAATAAATAATATAGCTTGGATGTAGCTCACGGAATAGGCATTATGATAGTTGTGTCAAATGTTTGCCACATGGCTTAGGGGCAAACTGGTGGGAGTGGGGCTCTTGTTTCAGTGTGTTTCTGTTGTTAGACAGCCAGAAGCAACATTAAAGCACAAAACCAATTATACCCCAGATATATTTTTGCCGCAGTACAATACTGCCAAACAGTGCTGTCAACTGTAAATGTTTCCGGAAAACTGCAGCAGGAATCGGTGACGTGATGAACTAAACAGAAATCCACATACAAACATAAACATACATAGTTATACACTAATACAAATATACTAAAATGGTCTGGGGTATAAAGGGCTTTAGGGTTGTTATTTTTAGAGATAATCTCCTATTGAAAGGAAGGAGTAAAACTATGCGAGTGTCGCACGTGAGCGCAGGCAGGCTGAGAGTGACAGTGATCCTCCGATGGGGTCGGGCTTTCAGCCTCGTGAAAGCAGAACTGGGAGGGAGGACATAAGCGGGGCCACAGTCACTGAAGGGCCAAAGGGGCCCGAGTGGGGGGGCGGGGATGGGGGGCGTCCCCCAACTCACCAACGTGCGTCTGGGCCAGAACGTCGGCCAGCCGGCCGGCCGCGCCGCTGCCCCCGCTCTGCGTGGAGGACGAGGAGGTGGTGGAGGAGGTGGTGGAGCCGTGGATGGCACGACTGATCCAGTGCTCCATGCTGATGCTGCCGTGGCTGGAGGTGGGCGTGCCCTCGCCGTGCAGGGAACCCTCCCCGTCGGAACCCGATGACGTGTCTGAAAGTGGGAGGGGCCAGGAGGAAAACAAAAACAGACAAAAGCTAGGTTAGAACCACAACGGCGCACAAACAAACATTCTAGACAACTGAGACTAAGGGGAAAGCAAACGATCTAGAACACAGACTAAATGGACATCGAATAACCTAGAACACTGAGACTAAATGGCCATCGAATAACCTAGAACACTGAGACTAAATGGACATCAAATAACCTAGAACACTGAGACTAAATGGAAGTCAAATATCCCAGACCTCCCAGAATGCTGAGAGCAAATGGAAACCAAACATTATGGAACACTGGGACATTCCGGGAGCTCTCTCCGCCATTCAATGCAAACAGTAAGTGAGAAGATGCATTCTGTCGTGCTGAAGACACACAATGTTAGAACAATGCACTCCATAAGCAAGACAGCGCACGTTCCATCTCCTTTACATGCATCTCCGTTATATACACCGGAAACTGTTCTAGCACAGCACTACCAGAGCTCTGGTGGACGTTCTGTTTCCAGGTGGTTAAATCACACTAAGCTATGTGACTGACGGAGGTGTCTTTACATGGTCAGGTTCAGAGCACCTCTGTGTTCCCAGAACCTGCCCAAGTGCTCTGATACATGAGGCGCCCTGAGACGCTCCGTCAAAGGGCCAACTTCACACAAACGACAAACATTAACACAGCACATGCACGTCGCTGAGACACAGGACACAGCATAAAGCAAGATGGCATGGTCATACAGAGCGTTTCCACTGCAGAAGTGCAGGAAGATGGTGAAAAACAAAACAGCAGTCTGGATGTGGAACAGACCAGGCAGTTATTACACACTGTGAGGTGTTAAGCCTCATGAGGACCAGCCCCCCCCCCACCGGGGAAACATGTCGCGGGCGAGCTCCAGAAAAGACTGGGCACGACTTGAGAAATGATGGCCTCACATATCAGCCAGAATTGTACTCCATGGGGAATCTGCGGTTTTTCCAAACGGTTCACACGCCTGCCGCTGCAACTGAACTGAGCCAGTGGGCATGAGCGTTTTCTCTGAACCCTGAAATGAGGCGCGTGGGGTGCCTTTATGCGCCATGTCGAGCATCCCCCCCCAGACCCCACCCCCTCACCCATTAACAGGCATCTCCTGAATCATAAGCACAAATTCCTGTCCAGGCATCCAATGTCCACCATTCTTCCATGTCAGCCTAGCACGTTGCCGGCGGATAACGGAGAATAAGAAGGGGATGCTTTGTGTTGAGACAGCATCAAACAGGACAAAACACCAAAACGCTCGAAAGATGTTCTGGAAATGCAGTGAAGTGCCAGGTGCAGAGCATCAAAAATCGACAGTGGAGAAAATAAACTGGCACAAACTTTATCCCAATAATTACTGCTTATAGTGCATCCAGGTTAATTTTGTATTCGCTCTGCAAAGGGGAGAGAGGGATTGTCAGGGCGATGAAGAAAGCAAGGAAATGTGGAACTTTCATTCCCGAAGACAATCTGGAAAACCAGCTTTCCATTCCCGACTGTGCCACCCAACCCCCGAAGCAGGAGGTCTAGGTCTGACCCGTGCGTCCGCCTTGCTGTGTCTGCCGATCACTGGATCAGCCGTTGCCTAGCAACCCCTAGGTCACATCGCCCGCCACGAATCTCCCAGGTCCGCCGTGATCCCTGGTGGATTAAGCCCTGCGCCAGACCTAACAGATCACAGAGTACGCAGAAACACAGACCACCGGTGCATCGCAAAACACAGACCACCGGTGCATCGCAAAACACAGACCTCCGGTGCATCCCGAAACACAGACCTCCGGTGCATCCCGAAACACAGACCACCGGTGCATCCCGAAGTACCGCCTGCTTTTTTCCCCTTTATGATGAAGGATAAACAGTAATGATGACAGTAGTGTTTGGTACCGATCCATAATCACATTATGTTGTTAAGCCCATTAAAATCACATTACGTTGGTAAGATGTTCAATAACATCCTTATAGCGATGCAGATCGTAGGTATTTAAGTGGACGTCTATCACAAATGTATCATATACATTTTACACCTAAAAACATACCTCTCATATTTTTCCAGTGATAATTGTAACATTCTTTCAAAATTGATCATTCATAATTGATAATTTTAAGAGTCTCTTAATTGTTTCCTAGATATTTTTATTCATTTTGAAATTAATTTCATTAGCTAAAAATATTTGTATTAATTTCGATAACTAGGGATATAAGCAGAAGCTACATTCTGAAAACTTCGTAGCTCTGAGGCATAATCTTAGTCCACAAAAACATATGTACTGTATATATGAATATAAACAAGCAGAACTTACGGTGATAATCTCTGGTAGTAATTTAGAGGTCTCAAGTTCAATGAAACCCAAGCAATTTCATCCCCGAGTTTCCAGAGCCAAGCTGTGGACACACGACTGGGACACAAACCCCCTCAGACAAGCTAGTCTAGTCCAGTCCACCAGCATCCCAGAATGCACCAGGTCACTTTTCCACTGACTGCAGGTCCTCTGTGTCTGCCACACACGGGCACACCCAAAGTCAGCACTCCCAGAGGTGCCCAGTGGGAGGGGCCAACCTGACCTCCTGATGAAACAACGAAACAGGAGCCAAGGCCTTGTGTCGCATGACCAGGTAGTATCTGATGGTGTGCCTCTAAGAGGAGGAGGATGGTGTGACCCTAAGAGGAGGAGGACGGTGTGCTCCTAAGAGGAGGAGGATGGATGAGCACTCAGACCAAACGTCGGGCTTCATGGTTAAAGCTCATATATAAAACACAGCATCAAAGGGCAAATTATCCACCTGCCTCCCATAATCCACAGAAACGACTGATTTCTAAGGTCAATGAGAAACTAGGAATCAGCGGCGCAGAGAGTCTCGCTGGAAGCCCGGGGGAGGGGGAGGGGGGGCGCGACCCTTACATGCCACCTACTCCACAGCCGTCCCTCAGGAGCCCAAGGGTGTAAGCCGCTTTCATCTGAGTCAGCACGACGGCGAGCGCGTAATGAGGCCGCTCCAGCAGGACCATCAGAGCTGAGTGCGCTTTGAGGGTTTATGGAGAACATGGTGTGGGGGGGGGCGGGGCGGGAAAGCATTACAGAGAGCCGTCTCATGTGGTTTGTGTACGGCTCTAACGAGGCGTAATCCACAGCGACAACCATCTGAGGAATCACTCCCCCCCTCCCCCGCCCACCTGCCAAAGGAGGGCGGCCTCTCTGTGTTTTCCGGAAGGCCGCGTTCCCTGATTCGGACGGGGAAGCAGACTGTGCGTGCTGCATGACATACGGTCAGCACTGAAGTTTTGAATTAAACTTTATTAGTCATACAGCTGTGAGTCATGAATGACACCGAGGTCTCACATAAACTTACTTTTAAGTACTCAAAGGCAAAGTATACAGCTATTTTTGACTGTGTAGGTGATAATCATTAATATATCAGAATTACAATGATATTTTACTTTGGCCAATAATACGATTAAAGGCATGATGGACATGTGGTACATGGCTATAGGTTTACTTTATCAGTCAAAATCTGGCATCCCCTGACTCCCCCCCCCCCACAAAAACACAGAGGGCTTCTTTAAATGGCTGTTCTGTGCAGGTGGACAGTGGGCGGAGCCTATCCAGTTACCTGCCGGGGTGGGGGCACTGACACGCACATACATTAGGGCTGGACGGGTGGCATGAAGCATGCAGGTGAGTGGTGCCACACGGGCACACGGGCACACGGGCTAGGCGTACTCACAGCCGTTACTTTACCTTGGATGGTCACATGTCGCTCACCTGGGGGGGTGTAGGCGTCCATGGAGCTCTGCACCACCAGGGAGCGCCGCTTGGACGGCATGGGCACGGCCATCTTGCGTTCCTTGTGCTTGGCCAGTGCCGCCTGCACTGCCT